GTTTATCAGAAGTTAGCAATGATGCCAAAAAAAAGACCCAAACATACCATAAAACATAATATCCAACAGTAGAGCGATGATCCAACATGAGGGCGAGGGTCCCAGAATAGGTGGATATTCTGTTTCTTTCTCTTCTAGGGTTTTGAGGGTTTGCACTTGTTTGTACAATTACTTAGAGGAATTTGCTTAAGCAACATATAGTAAGATTGAGCATTTGAGTGCATTTTCTGAAAAATAACTAAATCATAAAAGGGTTTTGAAATCCTTCCCACAAAGAAATGGGAATGCTTTTATTACAGCTCTGACATGTGACAAATTGCGGCCACTTGCTTTTAGGGAAAGCCAGCATGGTGGCGAAATCAGCAGCATTCAGCAATCAGTGGATGGCAGTTACGTGTGAAAGGAGCAGAGACGAAATGAAAGAGACCTCCTGCGCCCTGCTCACACACAGCAACCAGTGTATGCGCGCCCTCCTTTCTCGTGGGAAGACGTTTTAAGCCGCATGGCTTCCATGTGGAAGTGATTTCATCTCCTTAATTAAGATCACATTTACGAATAAAAGCAGAGTCAGGAAGCCAGCTTGACAAGGGTATCCTACCAAAAGCCAGGGTAAGCAGGAAGTCTTTGAAGGATCTGAGATGAAGGTAGCTGGGGTTCGGAAGGAAGTGGTGTGTTAGGTTCTATAAAGGTTTAATCCTGACATTTATGGAGAGAGAGAGACAAGGCTTATCTGGATTTGGTAGCACCCCTGTTGTTGTAGGTTAGCCAGAATTGACCCTTAACCTCTTCCGAAGAGTTTTACGTTACCCACTGGAAGCTTTGCCTACATACTTGAATTCTAAGATTTTAAGCGATTAGATTTTTCAAACACAGACTAAAACCTTTAAAGATAAGTTTCCTAAATATTTTTAACAGAAATGTGAATGGGAAGAAAGACAAAAGAGGAATAGCCTTGGATTTTAGTACCTGTTCAGGCAAGTATTGATCAGGACAAAAACAGGGAAAAGGAAAAAGAAAACAATTTCACTGATGCACTTTAAGTACGTTATTTCTGTTGATGCTGAAATGGATTCGTAGAATAGTATTTTATTTTAGGTTGTCATGGACTGATTTGTTTTAATTCTGTGGAACTAGGTATACATTGATAGCTAAGTTTTAACCAGGAAAGAATAATTTGTTTCATTAAATTCTCAATCTATTTCGAGGACCATATTAATAGTTTAGTACTACACACAAAAATAAAACAGAACACAGGAAAGAATGTTCTAATGGTGATCTTTCTTTATGGTTGCAAATCAACAGTGTAAAAGAAAAATTAAATCTAAGTTTGCTCAAAGTGCATTCAAGGCTGGCATTATCTTTCAGTTAAATGAACATAATTTACATTTGCTATTTCAACGGAGTTACCATGGAAGATCAAATTATAAAAAAAGCTATCTGCTTTTCAAAAACTATGTGTAGGGGCACCTGGGTGGGTCAGTCGTTAAGCGTCTGCCTTCAGCTCAGGTCATGATCCCAGCGTCCTGGGATCGAGCCCCGCATCAGGCTCCCTGCTCGACAGAAGCCTGCTTCTCCCTCTCCCACTCCCCCTGCTTGTGTTCCCTCTCTCGCTCTGTCTCTCTCTGTCAAATAAATAAATAAAATCTTAAAAAAAAAAAACTATGTGTATATAACATGTATATATATACACCTACACATACTCATGGGAACAGCTTCCAAATTGATTTTATCTCATTATGGATTAATTGAAACAGAATAATATACATGTAGGTTTGGGGTAGTTGATTATTCAAGACGTGAGTTATATTAAAACTTTCAGTGCCCCCATTTTCAGTAAAAAAAAAAAGGGTATTAGAATTGGGATTCTCTTTTAGGCTATAGATGTAAAAAACACTTCCAGAATAAGTTAAAAATTTCCCTTTAGCCCTTTTCACACTGCAAGTTGATGGGATATATTTGTGGCTTTATAATGTATCTCATTGGTTTCTGTTTAGATTTTTGTAAATGAGTACAGAAATACAGAATTCTGTGTGTGTTTATGTGTGCACATGTGGGTCTGTGTAGTGGCAGTCTTAGTGAGATAGGCTACTCTTTATGGACAGTATGGATGAGGTTGAGAAGCTTGAGGCAGGAAGAAAAGAGAAAGAGCTAGCGGGGAGGGCAAGACTGATTGATGACTACGGTGGAGGGCAAGGGTAGAGCAAGTTAACCAGTGGCTCCCCACTTACTCCCTCCTCACTCCCTCCTGTTCCAGTTGCCCTCCCTTGCCCCAGACACATTCTCCCTTCTCGACAGCTCTAGTCTCAGAAATCAGAAGGGAACTTTCAAAATTAGAACTTGGAGGTAAATGTTAATTTTCTGACTCAGAATTTTAGAACCATACATGGGTTTGGACATCAGTGAGTCCTATCACGAGATTTTCAGAATAGTGAACTAAGCCCAGTAGAAGATTCGTGCTTTGTTAGTCAGCGGGAAAAGCTTTTCAAGCCTCCAGGTTTCTAGCTCAAGAGTATTTTTATGCTACATTCTGGGAGAATTCGAGTAAAAATTAAACCAAGGGCCTCTTTGTGATGAATCCCTTCGCTGTAGGCAGAGATACTGCATCTGCTACTGAGGCAGAAGTTAGGAAAGACAGTTAAATGAAATGGATTCTTTTTGTGGAGGAGAACCAAATATTGCCCAGGCAGAGGAATCAATGATATTACGTGAAGTTGACCCTGGATCTTTTTATTTTATTTATTTTTAAAGTAATCTTTACCGTCAACATGGGGCTCGAACTCACGACCCCGAGATCAAGAGTCGCATGCTCCACTGACTGAGGCAGCCAGGCGCCTCTACCCTTGATCTTTTTAGAAGTAATTTTAGAAGACTTCTTCAGAAAAAAACAGATCCTTTCCAGATGGTGCCATACACACCTAAGGATCGTAGAGAATTAGATCCTGTGTCCCATGGGTGCTGCCCTAGCTTTATGTAGGTTTCAACATCTTCAGATTGATTGTGAATGTTTGGCCTCAGGTTGCACTCAATGCCATAAGTGTTTCTGGTTTCACTTATGCATGCATAGGGGAATTTTCTTTTGCAATCTTTGAAGCTGTATTGATGCAGCTTGGCCTTCTAAGCCACATAAAACCACCTACCAGACCTTTTAAAACCCAAAGCTTCACAAATGAGATATTCACAGGAAAGGGAACAATCTTCTGATAACATTATTTACAATTCTCTATTCCAAAATTTAATGTACAGACATACACTTTGACCATATCAAATCACCTGTCCTGACGAGAGCCCTTTTGCTGCATGTAGGTAAAGATACTGATGAGTAATGCCCTATGTATACTGTAAATAAATGTATTACTATGCATGGGATTTTTCCATTATGAAAATCAATCAGTTGATAAATATTTACTGAATACCTACCACGTGGCAGGCACTGTGGGTTGGCCCTGGGTGAAAAGGCAGCAATGTTCATGTCCTCATAGTGTTTATAGAAGTACTCTCTGCAAAATGATGCCTTTGTCAAGGATAGTAAATAATTCTAGGCTCTGGATTCTCTTTTGGTCTATTTACACGTGCATGTTTTTAATGAATGTAAGCTTTTTATTAAGATAGAATATAGACACAGAAAAGTCCATAAATCAAGTATATATGCTCAGAAGAATTTTCACCCAGTGAACACACCTATGAAACCAAAGCCAGGTCAAGAGACAGATACTGTTTGGCCTCAGACATCTCCTTTTTAACCCCTTTCAGCTACTGAGCTTCCCAGGGTAACCACTTTTCTGACTTCTGACATCATAGGTTAGTTTTGCCTTATTTTGAACTTCATAGAAATGGAATCATACGGTATATGGTCTTCTGTGCCTGCCTTCATTTGCTCAGTATTATGATTATGAGATTCATCTGAGTTGTTGTATATAGTTGGGTTCATCCATTCTTCTTGCTGTATAGTAGATTTCGTTGAATAAGTAAATTACAACTCACTTATCCCTTCTGTGGTTAAAGATAGCTGCCATAGTTCCGGTGTTTGGCTGTTACTGATAGTATCACTATCAAGACTCACGTACTTGACTTTAGGTGAACATTTCTGTTGGGGATCCACCTATGTATGGAATGCTGGGTCATAGGTTATGCATCTATTCATCTCTACTGCATACTGCCAAGCAGTTTTTCGCAGTGTTTATACCAAGTTCTAGTCCCACCAGCAGTGTATGAAAGTTCCAGTTACTCTACATCCTTGCCAAATTTGATGTTGTGTGCTTTTTCATTTTTGTGTGTATTTTCAGTTTTTAAAAAGTCAAACAGAACCACTGGGGCTTTGTGATAAACAATGAGACATCATATAATTCATAGCAACAGTGATAATCCCTTGGATTTTGGTCTGTGCCAATGATTCAAAATGGTGTCATAGTGGATTACAAACTCTGCTTAACCGTTGATGGAATCAAAGCCACTGTTTACAGTGGAAAATCCTGTAGAAGTTTGCCTTTCTCACATCTGGAATTGTGGCTTTTTCAAGCCAGTGGTGGTGAACGACCTTTTTTTTGCAAAAGGGTCAAGTTAGAACAAATAAAAATATTTACTGGCCACTTTAAAATTTTTTTTAAATGGACATGGCTTTATTGAGACCTGGGGAAGGAGCATGCATTTTGGGCATGAGATAACCTACTATATCAAGTACAAGATTGGAAATGAGAAAGCTGGAGCAACTCTAGGCCAATAAACTATTAACCTCAGACCGTATTTGAGAAATGATTCTAGGGAGAGAGCTGTCATCCTGAAAGTCTGTCAACCATATTGTAAAGCTAGGAGGACTAACTTTTAGACCAAGATCCTTAAGAGGAGGCTGTATGGTAGCCCATCCCCTTGCTTTAACAGCACTTGCCAAGGAGAAATTGTTAATATAATCATCAGGGCCCCAGGCTCATCAGAGAAGGGCACAGCTGAAGTGAGGAAGAACTTTATTTTTGGAAAGATGCTGATGGTTTCCTTTTCCTTTTCAGTCTAAGATTTATACTCGCACACCAACCTTATATTTGGACTTCAAATTGGACCATGGAGCAAAGCATTGCCAGCCTATTCCTAAAGGTATGATGGCTTCTGGGGTTTCGTCATCAGAAAAAAAAACAAGGGACCGCTTTCCCTGAAATGTGTTCATTTCTGAACCTCAGCACAAGGTTCTGTGAACTTTGTTTATGTGTAATTACATTTAACAAATATTGCTGGGGCTTTTTGAGCAAAGAAGATCAGGTAGAATTCATAGAACATTAGGGCCAGACTGTCTGCCCTCCCCCCCCCATTTTACAGGTGTAAACACTAAGACCCAACAGATTAGTTACTTGTTCAAGTCCTCATAAGGACTTTCTGGACAAGGCAGAACTTTTCGCCATGTGTCCCGATTTCCTAGCCACCGGTGACTGTAAGTGTTCCTGGAGGCAAATTCCAACTTTGTCACTTATGAACAGGTGCACCTCTGATTGAGATATAGGTATCTCTTGATAAACGTATTGTTATGGATGACTTACCCTAAAGTTGACTTTTTAAATTCAAAGACTAATTAGAAAACTCCCAAGTGTTTAAGGCCGATTTTATTTATTTATTTATTTATTTATTTATTTATTTATTTAAAGATTTTATTTAGAGAGAGAGCACAAGTGGGGGTAGGGCAAGAGGGAGAGAGAAAATCCCAAGCAGACTCCCCACCAAGTGTGGAGCCCTACATGGGGCTTGATCTCGCAACCCTGAGACCATGACCCCAGTTGAAACCAAGAGTTGGATGCTCAACTGACTGAGCCACCCAGGTGCCCTGAGGCCAATTTTATTTTTGAAAGTGTTTGCACCTGAGGTCATTAGGCATTCACCTTGGATCCATTATTTTCTTCTTTGGTTTTGTGGTTCTGGCTATTTTTAGGTACAGAAAAGCTTTTTAATTAATTCACTTAGACATATTACTCTACCCTTAAACACCATTTTTTATAACTAAGTATGAAAGCACATATGCTTTCTTCTAATAGATTTTTTTATTTTTATTTTTTTAGATTTTATTTATTTATTTGACAGAGAGAGAGATAGCAAGAGCAGGAACACAAGCAGGGCAGTGGGAGAGGGAGAAGCAGGCTTCCCGCCGAGCAGAGAGCCCGACGCGGGGCTCGATCCCAGGACCCTGGGATCACGACCTGAGCCGAAGGCAGATGCCCAACAACTGAGCCACCCAGGTGCCCCGATAGATTTTCTTTTTTTTTTAAATTTTTTAATTTTATTATGTTATGTTAATCCCCATACATTACATCATTAGTTTTAGATGAAGTGTTCCATGATTCATTGTTTGCGTGTAACACCCAGTGCTCCATTCAGTACGTGCCCTCTTTAATACCCATCACCAGGCTAACCCATCCCTCCATCCCCCTCCCCTCTAGAGCCCTCAGTTTGTTTCTCAAGAGTCCATAGTCCCTCATGGTTCGTCTTCCCCTCCGATATCCAACCCCTTCATTTTTCCCTTCCTACTATCTTCTTTTTTTTAACATATAATGTATTATTTGTTTCAGAGGTACAGGTCTGTGATTCAACAGTCTTAAACAATTCACAGCGCTCACCATAGCACGTACCCTGCCCAATGTCTATCACCCAGCCACCCCATCCCTCCCATCCCCCAGCACTCCAGCTACCAATAGATTTTATTTTTAAGTAACCTCTACACCCAACATGGGGCTCGAACTCACAACCCCGAGGTCAAGAGTTGCACGTTCTTCTGACTGAGCCAGCCAGCCGCCTGAAAGCACATAGGCTTTAACCTTTAGTGCGGTGCTTTTTCCTTTTACTTTCGAGTTTGCTTCCCTCCAGTTCCTTCCAGTACCTTCCCTATATATCCCAGCTCTAGGATATATCGTAGATATATACTCAAATTAGATCTTGCTGTGTAATGGCGGTATACTGTGCTATGGGTTGAGTGCGATGCATTTAGCTCTTGCCTCTCTGCAGGCACTCCTTTCGTACCTAGTGCTTGGCCACTGCACACTGGTCTGCGATAAACATCCTTATACACATGTCCTTCTGTACAGACACTTATTCTGATGCAGTGGGTTTCCAGGGATGGTCACAAGGTAGATGCATGTTTAATTTTAAAACATATTGTCAGACTGCAATTCACAAACACAATCGCACTTTCCATCGGGAGTATCTGAGTACCACTTGCTCAGTGACCCCATTGACGCTAAGTGGATGGTTCATGTTGAGTTTTGTTCTACCCTTAGTCACTACTCTGTATGGTCTCATGAGAGAATGTGTGTATGTCCCTTGAAAAGGCTAGACTTCGGTTTTATTTTGTTCTTAAAAATTCTAAACCTGAGATTTGTTTTCAAAAACATTTTTGGAGGGATGCAAAAGCCAGTAGCTTAGAAATGCACGTTTATCACTGAGTCAGTATAAACCCACTTGGAACAAGTCTGTTATAAACCCAGCTATAAAGCCAAAGAACCTATCTTTTCCAAGACATCACTCCAGGTATAGCGTGTCCTCTCTTTTTCTCAGTGTCTCTGTCTCTGTGTCTGTCTCTCTCTCTGTCTCTCTGTCTCTCTCTCTCTCTCTCACACACACACACACACACACACACACACACACGCACACACTCATCCATGTTTGCATTACATTCAGTGACAAATCCAAAGTTTGAGGCATCTCTGTCCGGTACCAGACAAACAATTTAATTCAGGTATTATAAAACACTCATTATTTACAGACTTGATAGTTCTGGGTGCCTATAATCAGCCATATTGGCTGGTGAAATTATGCTGCATAAATTTTATTATCAAGTCATTCAAGTCAAGATCACCCTTTGTCCTTTTTTTTTTTTTTTTTAAACTACCTTTCCGGGCCAAATTCCATTATAAAACCCAAGGACTGTTTAAATTCATTTTATTTGGGTGCTTTGCTGTATCCAATATTTCTTTTTTTTTTTTTAAAGATTTTATTTATTTATTTGAGAGAGAGAGAATGAGAGACAGAGAGCATGAGAGGGAAGAGGGCAGAGGGAGAAGCAGACCCCCTGCTGAGCAGGGAGCCCCATGCGGGACTCGATCCCGGGACTCCAGGATCATGACCTGAGCCGAAGGCAGTCGCTTAACCAACTGAGCCACCCAGGCGCCCTGTATCCAATATTTCTTAAAATGTGTTTGTCATTGGCTGGGTTCTGGACATGTTTATAATATTTTGATTGTTTTGTTACTCATGGTAAGGGGATTTGACATGGATGTCTGGGTTATGTTTGGCTTTTGGCATAAGCTTTGCGATCTCACTGATCTAAGGTTGACATCACTGTATCATTACCAGAGCAGTGGGATAGAACTAGAGGCATGCAGTCCTACCATCGCATCCCCAATACCAGGGAAATACAGATTTCCCAAGGGACATCCAGTTAAGGGTGATTGGAAACATTTCTTGTGAATCAGACTAGGTTTTATCTGAATTCTTTCCTGTAAATAGTATGAGAATTGGTTTTTTACCATCTCTCTCTTGCCTTTGGTTATGGCGTATTTCTGTGGAATTGGGCTAATCCTGCAGAAAACAGATGTTTCATGCAGTGATGATTTGGAAGGGAGCTGATAGCAGGAACGGAGCCTGGACAGTGCATCACTTACAAAGAATCCAATTTGTCAAGTCTCTGACAGTACCAGATTCCTTCAGCATTGGCCACACGTTTTTCATGTTAGTTTCTGGCTAGAATAAGTAGTTGTTTTTGTTTTGGGGTTTTTTGTTTGTTTTGCCGTGACTTTTACCATCTCTTACAAAGCAGTCTGATTTTTCTTGCTGCAAATTGACTTACAGATAACACTGTTATCATTCACTGAGAAGGACCTGAATCTGTATTTCTAGGAATATATCAGTTTTTCCCAAGAGACTTGGCCCTTTTGGTCCTCATGTCCCCTTTGTCTTCTGATGGCATCGAAGTTTGGCTCTGAACAGCATCTCTGTTGCTCCCCATCTTCCTGCACAGTGATTCTGCCACTAAGTATTTATTTATTTTTATTTTTAAAAGATTTTTTTTACTTATTTGACAGAGAGAGCACAGGTAGGCAGAGAGGCAGGCAGAGGGAGAGGGAGAAGCAGGCTTCCCGCTGAGCAGGGAGCCCGATGCGGGACCCGATCCCAGGACCCTGGGATCATGACCTGAGCCAAAGGCAGACGCTTAACGACTGAGCCACCCAGGCGCCGCACTGCCACTAGGTATTTAAAGGCATGATCTGCAATGTTAAAAATGGACGATGGTTATGGTATGGAAAAAACTTCATCTTGTAAGGATTTTTTGCTTCCCCCAACCTTTTAGTTTTCTTTACAGTATGTATACACCAATCCCCCAAATTTCTACTATCCAAGGAGAATAGCCTGGATAGTCCAGGTGGCCCCAGTATAATCAAAGGGTCTGTGTTAATGAAGGAAGGGGCGAGGGTCAGAGGGAAAGATGTGACGGTAGAAGCATCAGTCTAGGTGATGCCGTTGCTGCGTTTGAAAATGGAAGGAGACCTCAAGCCAACAAGTAGGGGTGATCTCTAGAAGTTCGAAAAGGTAAGGAAATGCATTTCTCTCTAGAGCCTCCAGAAGGAAGGCTGTCCTGCTGATAGCCTTGACTTTAGACCCTCGAGACCCATGTTTGGACTTCAGACTCCCAGCATTATTAGATAACAGGGTTGTATTGTTTGTGCTCCTGTGTTACAGTATGTCTGCTTTTGTGGGAGGAAAAAATAGAAAGGAGCCCTGTCAATTACACTGCAATAAAGCTGGGGGAAAAAGAGAAACTGGTGCTTCAGAATGCTTTTCTAAAAAGTACATTTGAGGGGCGCCTGGGCGGCATAGTCAGTTAAATGTCTGACTCTTGGTTTTGGCTCCGGGTGTGATCGCAGGGCTCTGCGCTCAGGGAGTCTGCTTGGGATTCTTTCCCCTCTCCCTCTGCCCATCCCTCCCCGCCACCCGCTCTTGCTCTAAAATAAAATAATAAATCTTTTTTTTTTAAAGTAGATTTTAGGGGCGCCTGGTTGGCTCAGTGGTTGAGCGTCTGCCTTCGGCTCAAGTCATGATCCCAGGGTCCTGGGATCGAGCCCCGCATCGGGCTCCCTGCTCCGCGGGAAGCCTGCTTCTTCCTCTCCCTCTCCCCCTGCTTGTGTTCCCTCTCTCGCTGTGTCTCTCTCTGTCAAATAAATAAAATCTTTAAAAAAATAAAATAAAAAGTAGATTTTAATGCTGTGCATACAGTAGCTGTTCAGTAAATCCCATTATGATATGTTTAAATAAGTATTACTTATCTGTGTTGCTGTATAACAAATTACTCCCAAATGTAGTGGCTTAAGATAACATTTGTTACCTCACACTTTAGCTGTGGTCTCTGGCTCAGGGACTCTTATAAGGCTGCAATGGAGGTATCGGGGTTGCAGCAATCCCAGGGCTTGACTGAGAAAGATGGGCTTCCAAGCCCACACCCACGTGGTTGGTGACAGCACTCAGTTTCTCAGGCTTATTGGCTGCACTCCGCTGTTACTTCCTTGCCACGTGGGCCTCTCCATAGGACAGCTCACAATGTGGCCTCTGGCTTTATCAGAGCCTACAAGGGAAGAGGAAGAAAGAGTGAGCAAATGGAAACCAGAGTCTCTCTGTCACCCGATATCAAAAGTGACATCCCATTACTTTTGCCAGTTCTGCTGGTTAGAACCAGGCCACCAGGTGCAGCCACGCTCAGAGAAGAGATTACTCAGGGCGTGACTATGAGGCAGTGGGTGTCTTAAGAGTCAACTTGCCACTGTTGAATCTCAGATCTGTACCTCTGAAACAAATAATGCAATATATGTTAAGAAAAAAAAAAAAAGATCGCAGGAGGGGAAGAATGAAGCGGGGGAAATCGGAGGGGGAGACGAACCATGAGAGACGATGGACTTTGAAAAGCAAACTGAGGGTTCTAGAGGGGAGGGGGGTGGGAGGATGGGTTAGCCTGGTGGTGGGTATTAAAGAGGGCGCGTTCTGCATGGAGCACTGGGTGTTATGCACAAACAATGAATCATGGAACACTACATCAAAAACTAATGATGTAATGTATGGTGATTAACATAACAATAAAAAATAAAAAATAAATCAAAAAAAAAAAAGAGTCAACTTGCCAAGCTTATGATCTTGAGTCCAAGTGCCATACGTTTTTCCAGATGGTCCATGACTCGAAAATGAAGTAGTGATTTTT